ACAATAATTTAAAAAATTAATATTATTAGAAAATTTATATTTTTATTGTTGCGAGGTATTAATTTTATGCAACTTAATCGTATAAAAAATATTTGAAATAATAAGGATTTAATGATGTAGAGAGAGAATACACCGATTTCGCTTTGTCGTTCGTTTTCAATTTGAATCTCGCTCGTTTTCTTTTTTTGATACAAATATCTTTATACTACTTAAGTTGCTATAGTTTATACGGTGCAATCCTACATCCTACAATAGTACAGCATCGAATAATGTACATGTCTTTTTCATATATTTTATTATGTAGATTAAAATCCGTTATTATGTTAAATATTGCATGCAAAAATTTTCTCAACTTGAATATTATGTAATATAGTAGAAATTATCACTTTGACAGAGTTATGTCGCAAAATAGAACATATTCATATCTGCTGAAGGTAAACATTACCATTACATTTAAACGTTATTGGTAATGTTATATTTTATGCAGATTTTCCGATGACATATACCATAGGATAATCTTTTTATTCATTAAGAGATTCATTCCAAACTTCAATCGAAGCTTTATGTGAAGCTTTACAGATGCTTCGACAATAGCTTAAACTCAGTTCAATTATACATAGATATGAAATTCATAGAACGCCCTAGAAAATTATTAACTATTAACCATTACCATTTAACAGAAATTTAGTTGTATATTTAATTTTTTTTATACGTAAACACAGTTACTACTTAAACAGCAAACTTTGTTTAATATTGACAATTTCGGAGTTTAATAATTCGTATTTTCAAATATTCAAAACATTTCTTAAGAAAAATTTGTCACGTGTTTTAGAAATAATATTCTCCTCTTTTATTAAATGTCCCGTATGAACAGAGCCTATCTTTAGAATTCTGGGAATTTTAAAAAAGATCTATGAGGAACTACCTACACACTATGTTTTAATAAAAGGCAAAAAAAGAGAAGACACACACTATATTTCCCTAAACTGTATACTTTAATAAAAGGGAAATAAAACACGTGTCTGGTTTGCCCAGGCGTAAGATAGGCCCTGCATAGGACTCATTCACAGGGCTGAAATATTTAGACCTATTCGGCCCAAACCTCTCCCGAGACCAATTCAAGCCCTCGTGAACTTTGACTTTTCGGCGCATCAGGGAAGTCTCTCTCCGCCTCGACGACCGGGAGCGGCGCGGGGGGTGGCGGTACCGGCAATGGCAACGGCAGCGGCAGTAGTGGTGGTGGTGGTAACGGTGGTGGCGGTACTGGTAGCGGTAGTAATAGTGGTAACGCCGGTGGTAGCGGTTCCGCCGCGGCCGCCGGAGGGGCTGCTGGTGGCGGCAGCGGTTCGCTAAGCGGTGGCGGAATCGTCGCCGTAAAGCAAGAGACCACGGTCGAGCTCGCCGGCCTGGGCCATGGCTCGTACACGATGGTCGACTCGACGACCTTCCTAAGCGGCCAACAGCAAAGGGTCAGCAACCCATCCGAGGACGACGAAGTGCCGAGTCTGCCCAGTATGTCCCATGCGATGAGATGTGAGGTTACGTTTGTGTCCCTTTGCATGGGCATGCGATCATCCCTTCGTTAACCAATTTGCTTGCCGATCCCTTGCAAAAAAGTTCCCGAGGACTGACGAAATTGGGGGAAGATTATGATGAGATTATATTTCAAAAAATTTCTATATTGGAGAGAATTTATTTTAATATATTTATTTAAAAAAATATATATATTTTTTTTTTTTTGGATTAATGATAACTTTTTGCGAAAACTGTTTTGTATAATATAGATATATATTTACTACATACAAATGATGTACGAAAAATTGTTTGAATAAGCTCATTAAAATGTTAAAATCATATTATTATAATTTAGATAATATAATATCTATGTCTCTCTCTTTTATTAAAATTTATAAAATTTTGAAGTTATAGATTTAAATCTGTCTCTCTCTCTATCTCTCTCTCTCTCTTTATATATATATATACATATAAAATAACAGGATCGTGTTTATTTTATATTACATAATATCTTGAAATTTAATAATTTTTAGATAATGGTAAAAGATAAATTAATTATATTATAATAGAATCTTGAGGAAAGATGATTTGCCAACGAAATGCATTAATCAACATGGAAAGTAGTCTAACTTTATGAAAAATTCATAAAGAGTTGTTAAAAATGGAAATTGCTTGCTCTTTTATGTTACAAGTTACAACTATCTATGTCTATCTGCCGACGATAAAATTATTATAAACGTTTTAGCATATTGAGTGTTTAAATTACAATTAAATGTTGAAAATGTTAGTCCTCTGAAGCTTTATCCCGAAATTTGAGTTTTCGTATCATGCAATATGTTACTGAACGTTCAAATTTGTATGTATATTATTTATGTATATTTTAATTTAAAATATTTTATGTTTATTCACGCTCTCGCTCCCTCTCTCTCTCTCTCTCTCTCTTTGAATGTTTTGTGTGTATTTTTTACAATTACCCTCCTGGAGAAATTGTAAAAAATTTGGCATTCATAAGATTCTCTTTGTGTGTACATATTGTATATATCTATATCTTGTATATCTATTCCTGATTACACGAATAATTTAATAATTTTGCAAGTTTTTTTTTTTTTTTGGATTAATGATAACTTTTTGCGAAAACTGTTTTGTATAATATAGATATATATTTACTACATACAAATGATGTACGAAAAATTGTTTGAATAAGCTCATTAAAATGTTAAAATCATATTATTATAATTTAGATAATATAATATCTATGTCTCTCTCTTTTATTAAAATTTATAAAATTTTGAAGTTATAGATTTAAATCTGTCTCTCTCTCTATCTCTCTCTCTCTCTTTATATATATATATACATATAAAATAACAGGATCGTGTTTATTTTATATTACATAATATCTTGAAATTTAATAATTTTTAGATAATGGTAAAAGATAAATTAATTATATTATAATAGAATCTTGAGGAAAGATGATTTGCCAACGAAATGCATTAATCAACATGGAAAGTAGTCTAACTTTATGAAAAATTCATAAAGAGTTGTTAAAAATGGAAATTGCTTGCTCTTTTATGTTACAAGTTACAACTATCTATGTCTATCTGCCGACGATAAAATTATTATAAACGTTTTAGCATATTGAGTGTTTAAATTACAATTAAATGTTGAAAATGTTAGTCCTCTGAAGCTTTATCCCGAAATTTGAGTTTTCGTATCATGCAATATGTTACTGAACGTTCAAATTTGTATGTATATTATTTATGTATATTTTAATTTAAAATATTTTATGTTTATTCACGCTCTCGCTCCCTCTCTCTCTCTCTCTCTCTCTTTGAATGTTTTGTGTGTATTTTTTACAATTACCCTCCTGGAGAAATTGTAAAAAATTTGGCATTCATAAGATTCTCTTTGTGTGTACATATTGTATATATCTATATCTTGTATATCTATTCCTGATTACACGAATAATTTAATAATTTTGCAAGTTTTTTTTTTCTATAGAATTTTGTGCATTTTTATCTCTACTTTGCATACCTTGATCGTTTAAAATGTTTAAGTTTTATTTTTTTCTCTTTTTTCATTTATCTAGAGGTACATTTATTGTTTGAAAGTGTTCTTTAATTTCATTATGCATATGTATACGAAATGTAAGTAAATGTATTATGATTTTTCTAAAAATGTGAAACATATACTCGAAGATTAATTTTATATATATTTGTTATATATATTATGTTTGATATATAAATGTAAATTTGTAAATGTGATTTGTAAATATTACATTTTTTATTATATATATCCTTGATTTTAATTAAGTAGTCAAAATATTTAACAATTATAATTATAGTGCATTTACAAACCCGCTTTTTGCATGAGCTGGCCATAAATACTACAAACATCTTTTGCATTACCCTTTACAGCATAAGGAATTATCTAAATCCTTTGTGGTTCTAACTATTTTTACACTATTATATTTGTAGTTAGACTAATCTTGTGTAACCAAGTATCTTTTTACAAAAAAAAGTAATTTTTGCAATATATTTAAGAAAATAATTTATCTAATAATGAGAAAAAACAATGTTTACAACGATGATTACATGAAGATAATTTGTACGACAAGGGATTAATATATGAACCGTACGCTTGCACTGCATGCTTAAGATTTCTATTTGAGATCTTTTTTGTTTGCCGAATAAATCTTTCCATCGTTTCTGTTTTTTTTACTAAATGTATCTATTAGGAAAGGGATGAATTACGAGCGGGGAATACGTTGAATTTCCGCAGATCCGGCACAGATCAGCGAGCTTCTCTCGAAAACGATAGCGGACGCGCACGCAAGGACGTGCCTGGTATCTACGGAACAGATCCAGGAGTCCTTCCGGAAGCCCACCGACATCTCCAGAATGATCTATTATAAAAACATGGCGCACGAGCAACTCTGGTTGGAGTGTGCCCAGAAACTAACCACCGTCATCCAGCAGATCATCGAGTTCGCCAAAATGGTCCCTGGATTTATGAAGCTCTCGCAAGACGACCAGATCGTTTTATTAAAGGCCGGTACGTAACTGCATCTCTGGCATAAACACGGGTTTCTCGCCTATCGGCGATAAAGCTTTGTTCTTTTTTCGCGTATTCTTGCGCGTGATTTAACGCGCAAATTTTGTGTAAGAAGAAGGTTAATCTGAAGATTCTATTCCATTTTTAATTCTTAAATGGGATAGGTAAGTAATTGCATTACCTCATTATACTTAATGCAATTGTAGTAACAATTTTAATATTTCTTAAAGTAAATCAATATTTATTTCATTAATGGAAGGACAATTTAATGTCACAATAATTTAATGTTAAAAGTTTATTAAAAATTTCCCGATCTTTTTTAAGCGTTGACGAATTAATAGACAATATTGTAACTGTTGTGGTATAGATGTGCTATAAATATATAATCGTCTCTTATTTAGAATAATGAAGATAATAAAGAATGAAAATGATGTACAAGTTAGATAAGTGAAGATAAAAAAAGCGCAATTATGAGCTGAGATATGCTGATATCCTGTTAAAATGTAACAGGTTCCTTCGAGTTGGCTGTGCTACGAATGAGCAGGTACCTCGATCTCCAGCAAAACTGCGTTCTATACGGCGATACCTTGCTGCCGCAGGAGTCATTTTATACGACGGATACGGCGGAAATGAAGCTTATTTCCTGTGTATTCGAGCTGGCCAGAAGTATCGCCGAACTGAAGCTTACTGAAACCGAGTTGGCACTCTATAGCGCGGCTGTTCTACTTAGCCCTGGTAAATGACATACGCGATATACAGAGTGTCTCACATCCACTGTTTTTTAAAATTATAACCCAAGGTCCATAGCGCACAAAATACCATTAAGCGCTTCAAATTTCGTTGGTTCCATTACTCGTGTTTATGTATGCTTCATCAAACGTTTATATACTTCATTTTATCGAATTTTATATGTCGAAGTAATGTAATAATAATCTCATATTGCTATCACTATCATTCGAACAGCACCAAAGTTGACTGACTTACGATACGTTGCGCAGATCGACCGGGACTAAAGTGCCTGGGGGACATCAATAGGCTGTCACAGGCGGTGATCAGAGCGTTGAGGTCAGAACTTGATCGGAATCACGTGACACCGATCAAGGGCGATGTGACTGTGTGCGATGCGATCCTCGCCAAGATACCGCAGCTACGGGAGATCTCGCTACTGCACATGGATGCGCTGGCTAAATTCAAGCGGTCGCAGCCGCACCTCGAGTTTCCGGCCCTCCACAAGGAGCTCTTCAGCGTCGACAGCTGAACGAGCGATGCGGCGCGGAGTGTCATCCCGGCGCTGCCGAGTGGACAGGAGCGCGAGTAGCGTCGCGGATCTTGCTCGGTCAAGGTGAGTCCGACCATCCCGGAAGAGAGATAACCGACGACCTCGTGGCCCGGGGAACCGGAAGCGGCGACGCTTTCTAGGAAGAATCCGCGAGCCGGCTTGGATGAGAACGATCTCGATAATAAAGGGCGTGGTGACACAAATGTTGACAGATCGATCGATCGATCGTGTCGACGGTCCGTCTCGTCGCGAAGCGATTTTAATGGGGGTTATTGTCTCATGTCGAGAATAACAACAGAGACAACGCGAATCATGGCAGACACTTACGTTACATTAGTTTGTTCGACTCCGAATCTTCGGATTCGGAAATATGTGCTTTTAAGACAAGTACTTTTAAGACAATTTATTGAGAATTGGTGCTCGGAAAGGCGAGAAACGATGTCGGCTAATGCTTATCTGGATTCTAGAATTTAGGGTTGGGCTCGTAGTCACGTTTCACATTTAGTGCTAACGTAGTTCTACAGTTCTTAGCCCATGATTATAATAAATGCAATCATTCTCACATTAAATAAATTCTCATTAAATAAATAAAAATAACTTGAGTGAGACCATATTTAGCATCATGTTTATTAAATAAATCCTAACTGTAGTTTCTTTCTCTCTCTAGGATGGTTAGGTTTGGATGGTTAGGATGGTTTCAATATAATCATTCAAAGTAAAATCTTTTAAAATACATTTGGAATAATTAATATAAAATGAATAAATTTAAAATTGATCGCAACGTTACTTGTTTTGCGATATGACGCACAAAAGTAATAAATTTAACACAAGACCTAAAGGGCACAAGGTCTAAATGGCAACAATTTTGAAATTAATAATCCAAAATTTACAAAATATAAAATGAGAATACTGATATCTATATTAATTACTCTTATAAGATTTTAAAATAGCTAAAACTAGAAACAGCATATTCAAAATCCAGATAAGAATTAAAAAATAACTTTCTATGTTGGTTGGTACTTTATGCAGAGAGAATACTTTAACTTATTTATTAAGAACTTGTTATTATTGAAATCTATTGAGAACTTGTATTAATTTTATTCTGTTTCTAAATATGTATTACTAGTATAATTTCGAAACTTTTTAGATGTATCAAGACATAATACGTTTTCCATTTTATCAAAATTAAATTTGGGAAAAGTCGTATTAATGATAAATTTACAAATCGGCTTGTATTTAAGAGGTTTTTGATAAATTGCTAAAATTCATTGATAAGAAAAAGAACCAATTAAAAATTGAATATCAATGCGTGAAAAATGTTTTTTTAATGTAGAGATGCGGTAATAGGACATTTCTCTGATTCTGTATGTATTTTACTTTATATTTATTTAATTATGAATATAGAAGTTTGCAAAATAAAGGTGGGGAAATAAAACAAATAAGAATATTATTTTATATGATAACAATATTAAATCAAGATCATTTTATATAATTTATAGTACGTGGGAAAGCTGAAAAAAGACAAAAAATTATATGGATATATTTTTCTGATAGTTGGTAATATTTCTAATTTTCTTTTTTTTTTTTTGTATTGTATTGACACATAATATAAAATATTATAATGGGTTTAATACATTATTATGTGAATACCGAGAAAAGGTTTAATATATTTTTCGAGTTGTTGATGTACTTTTCATCGCAAATATAAATATTTGCTTGACATCGCTTTTTACAAACTGGCTTTTTCGGGTACCAATGCAATGAATATTCAAGAGTCTTACATATATCTCTACATTGTGTATATATATCTTTTTTATTGTTTAAATTGCAAGAGAAAAGAAAAAATAAATCTTTCAGAAAAATGGGCGAACTCTCAATTGTCCACACGTACAAATCTTTTTATAACATTTCAATTTGTGCGATGAATATGATATATATATAATTATAATACAAGGAAAACAATATGTGTGCATGTTTTAACCCTTTAATCGGTAAATTATACTTGTTTAAGATTTTGGAGAAAAGCCAAAATTTTTTATTCAACTTATCTTTGTTTTAGATTGTTAAAGATAAAATAATATAATGTAAAATACTGAGAGATAAAATTTAGAAAAGTTATATTTTATATAATATAAATAGTTATAACTTTATTCTCTTTTTATTATAATTTATGTTAATTAAGAACAATTTGTCACTGGCCACATGATGTTTTTAAAATCGGGACGAGATGAACTCGACACTACCGTTGAAAGGGTTAAAATTAAGATTAACGAATTAGAAAAGAATAAATTGTAAATATGTTTATATATGGTTACCATCAATCTGATTCGAAAGTAGATCGACTTTGTTTCTCCTTCGAAAACGTCCGAGTCTTTGATCTTTTAAAAATATGAATTCTTAGTCTCAATATACTTTCACAGTTCATAGTAATTATAATAACACATTTCTCTTTAAAGAAAATCTTTTCTATAAAAATGAATATTAAATCCCCTAATCCAATGTTACTTGGACGTCTCTTGTGTGAATGAGAAATCAAAGTATAAAAAGGCGGATAAATATAATTGGAGGTTGTATCAGATTTTAATCGTTCGCAACATCAGTTTTATCAATTTTATATTAATCTACTCTAGCAATCATTCTTAAACATTAAAGAAAAGTTATTCATACCATTCACGATATTTTCTCTAGAACGCGAATTTTTAATTCAAATCTGATTCATCCTCTGCAATCTTATTCATCCGCGGTTATTCTAAACCAGCTTGGATTTTAATGATTAGCCTACCGGATAGTGTATGTCGTTTATAGAGCGTACTAACTTATTTTTGTTTGTTGTTAAACGTTAAATTTTGCCCGAAGTTTAATATTAAACGTTATGTTAAACTTTATATGCGTTTATGTATTTTAAGATGTTTTTCGCGCGTTTGAAATCATTAAGATTAATGTATTACGTTTAACGTATTCGAATCTAAAGATTACAGTAGATAATGTAAGAATGCATAATTATAAATTTATTTTAATATTAAGATGAGTTAATATTAAAATGTCGATAAATTTATGTTAATCGATATGAAGACATTTTACTGCCAGTCATTGGATTTAAAGCTACAGAGTGTCTCAAAAAGATTTATATAATATTTTCTTGATCTTTTAATATCTGTTTTTTTATTGATAAAATTTATTTGTACGATCTAAATACAAAATTAATTACAATTTTGATTTTTTATTTGAATTAGCCTTGTATAAAAGTTGTTCATATATATAACTCTCTCTGTGAATATTTTATTATAACAAATATTTAATTAAAAACATTTTTCATTCAAGATTCTTTCAATGAGTTTTATAAAGCTTTATTATACATGTTTTTGAGATGATCTGTATTTTTTGCTCGCATAATAGACTTATGTTCGATATTTAATTTGTTATGTCAATTATATATATTGTAGAAAACGATATTATTGTGCAAAATATGCGTATTGTTCGAGATTGAAACTTTTGGCCTTTAAGTCAAACTAAATGTCCGGTAGGCTTTCAAATATTTGTCATGATGGACTTTCTCTGTCTTATTGTTAGATAAAAATATTAAGTAATGCCTCTCTCGAGAGACAACCGATTGGTTGCCTATCAACCTTGGTCGGATGATTCTTCCTAGGAAACGTCAAGATGAGCACGCTAAAGATAAATCTAGGAAAGTAAGAAAAATAATACGGTAGAATCACGCGAAAAAGAAAACACATCGAACTGAATAGAACGCTGGTACATGGTCTCGCTAAAATTGTTGATAGAGTTTTATATAGTAGCAAAATTTTGTGTGCAACTTAGTTTTCTTGTTTCAAATTTTATCTACAGATAACAGAATAAAAAAAAATTTTTTTAGTATAATGTACAAGATTTTTTTTCTTTTTTTTTTCTTTTTTTTTAAGATAAAAAATTTAGTAGAACGGTGGGAATAATCTTTGAAACAGATTTTACATGATTAAAGGTAAAAACAGTATTGTAGTTTTATTTTTGACAAAAGAAATACGTGTTTTACAGAGCTTGATTTTTGCGCAATTATTCTTATACAGACATTTTAGAATAAAGTTTAAAACTATAATAGAGTTTAACTTTCGGCATTAATTACAGTTTTTTTTTCTTCAATAAAAAAAGTAAGGAGAAAAATACGTTTGCCTCATTCTCTTATTAAATTTGATTTTACTTGTTTTATATTATAATTAAATTACATTCTTATCGTGCATTTCTAGATTCTTAGTATATGCTATAATATGATATTTGATGTTTAAAAATTGAGTATATTAATTATATTATGTATATACCGTATATTTCGTTATTCGGTAAAACTGCATAAAAGGTAACACACTTCCGATTTTATCGCCACTTAAATATATTGTAGGGGAGGTTCTTTTGAGTAATCCCCCCCAAAGAAATAAGTGAGGAACGGCATTTAGAAGATATAACAAATTCAAATTTGACATTAAATTACTATTTATGATATTTACGTGTGGGCGGGGGAGGGACTCCACCCTTCTCCTATTTTCAGTTTTAAAAATAAAGTTGGGTTGGGTTAGGTTAGATTTTTTCGGGGTGGAGGTGCAGAGGGAAAGACGGAGCCCCTCTTTCGCACACACATTCAATAAATAATATTTTTTAAGACAAGACTCACAAATTCGTGTATGCAGTTGCATGTTGAAAACTGTTAACGAACTGCGAGAAATAGGTGAAACATATTATTGATAAAATATCTATGACCGGGTGCCTATCCCGTAAATGTAAACAAACACTTTTTCAATGTCTGCTCTACAACAAATACAACGTACACAAACTTCACTTTTCGTAATATTACTTTATAATACCTGAGAAAAAGTTTAATTTGTTATCTCTTCTAAACCAATGCCATCCCCCAATTATTTCTTGCGAAGAATTACTCAGAAAAACCTTCCCTATAACATATATTTAAGTAGCGATAAAATCGGAGGTGTGTTACCTTTTATGCAGTTTTACCGGTTATTCTATTTGTTGTTCTCTCTTAATTTTTCTTTAAAGAAAAAAATGTGATGATAATCTTAAATCGCAAAATTGGCGAGTTCATTTAAGTTATCACTTTGTCCAATCACGCGTAGATCATCTACTGGTGTCCGGCATATCGCGAACATCTCATGCGCATCCTTCACGGCGATGACGACGATGACAACGTCAGGAACATATATACAACTTGTCGACTGAATAGTTCTATACTCATACGGTGCTTACGACAGGGAGCAAACCAGGTACAAGCGTTGTTTAATCATATATTCGTCTCCTTTCTGTTGCAGATAATTTCCTTCGTAATGAACGTATTGGGCCTTAAATAAACATAAAACATTGTTATATATAAAGTATACATAAAAAGCAACATAAAGTATATACAGAAGAAATATATATATATATATATATAAATATAAATATATAAATATATACATAGTGTGGATGCGTATGTGTATACGCGCGCGCGATACGTCTTACCGACGCAAAGGTGTATACACATACGCACATGTCGTTATAAGATTATATTATATAGACAAAGAAAAAAATCGCGAATGCGTGCGAAGCGAACGAGCGAGCGAGCGAGCGAAAGCGAGAGAATGTGCGTGTGTAAGCGAGAATTGGACGAGCGAAAATACGAGTGAAAATGAAAGAGAGTGAGAGAACTGAGATATCGGTTGTTACGATACATACATAAAGTATATATTGTATTAATTAAAAAAAAAAATAGTGAAAGAGCGAGGAGAAAGGGGAAGAGGAACGGTGATTAACCAAGTCCTGCTTAGACGGTCCTAGGACGAGATAATATAATATAATACTATAATCAAGAATTGGCATTTTTTTTTATGAGAAGAAAATCTCGATCGGTCCGCTCGTGCAACATAGAGACCGATATTATCACACCGTCGAACAGAGAGAATTCGAGAGCGAGCAAACCCAGCGAATAGCGTCGGCGAAGGGTAGAGTTTATATTGCTGAGGGCGAGGAATCGTGGAACCGCGTCAAAGTTGGGTGTAATTAAGCGCGATAATGGCGATAATGAGCATGTTTTTATCACGTTTTAGAATTTCTTCTTCCAACTTTTACTCAATCATCTCTCACGTTCCAACTTTATCTCGCCGTCGTTATTAATTGCTATATTTGCATCTTGATCGTCAATCACGGACAAAGAGTAAAATTTAGTACAAAAGAAATTTACGCGTGATTATATTAATGATAAAATATAGATACGTGATAATGACATGTAAAAAATAAATTTTGTAATAAATGAAACGTTAACAATTAAGAAATGTGATGAAAACTATCAACGTTATAAAAGAAAGAAATTTAGGAACGAGCAAGAAGAGAGGGACAAGGAATTTAAAAGCAAATTATAAAAGTCGAAAGTGTGATGAATCGATAACATGAAATTAAAAGTATTTTAGAAACTGATAAAAAAACATGATCACATCAATCGTCATTATTGTGGTCAACTTGTACGAGCTGTGAGATGATCAAAGTTTCTTCTTTCCGCTCGTATAGCCGGTAAAGGACGCGTCACTTCGCTAAATATTCAAATAAGTTTTACCAAGTGAAGAGATATGATTAAAGAAGCAAGTATAAAGCACCGTCTTCTATTTAAAGATACAACAAAACTAGCTCTAGAGATACCCTCTTAATCACGATTAATCTTAACACGTATTACATCATCGATTCGATACTTGAAATTTCTTTTGCCTTAGCAAGAATATTCGAATAAACGCGTCCTTAGCTTAAATGCAAGAATCTCGGCAGCGGTTACGCGTTCCGCCGTCGTCGCGACTTCGAGTAGTGATTCGAGTATAGAGTTCTCAGCTACTTTATATATATATAGCATAAATACATATATATAAATAAAAAAAAATATATATAAATTAATAAATATATAAATATAAATAAATAAATATATATATATATATAAACACTATACATATGGGAGTATATTTCGAGGAGCGGAATGATCGAGATTCGATGGTCTTCGCGATTAATAAGTACGATGAGCGTTAGAGACAGAGATTCTTCGTCCCTGGACCAACTCGGCCGGATTACACGGATAACGATGACACATAACACGCTCACGAGAATCCATACACATACATACGCAGAGACAGACAAAGAGAACGAAAGGGAGTGAAAGAGAGAAAGAAAGAGAATGAAAGTGAGAGCGAGAGAAAAATATTATATGAATTGTGACGCGCGGATGCAACTTTCACGGATGCAGGCGTAGATAGAGCTAATCGAACGCATTATGCGCGCGCATTAAAAACGTTTTTGGTACTGTACGGCACTTGTATGACGCGTCTCTTTATACGTAAATCGTATACTTCTTATGGATAAAAACAAAAAAAAAAAAAAAACATACAATAGCCCGTCATCGCGCGCTGAGACACCCTCACGAAGCGTTTATATACGCACCGTCACCGGCTTTCCTCGCTGTCGTCGATCATTGATCGAAGATCAGGAGATTAAGAAAGGATTTAATAACGGCTCGCTGTTATTCATCGACACTTTCGCGACCGCCCGTGTATTTTTAGATGAAAATTACGTCGTTGGGCACCGGGCCGATTAAAATGCATTCGAACGCCTTCGCGTCGTTGCTAAGTATAAAATTATGTTGTTAAGAGGCAGGCTGGAATAAAGAAAAGGTATTCGTACGCCATCACCTTTTTGCTATAAATAACACTATGTTGTTAAGAAGCTGAAATAATAAAAGTATTTGTAAGTCACACCTTGTGCTTTTATTATAAATATTTTTAACTTGTTATATAGATATATATATATGTTCTTATGGATAAAAACAAAAAAAAAAAAAAACATACAATAGCCCGTCATCGCGCGCTGAGACACCCTCACGAAGCGTTTATATACGCACCGTCACCGGCTTTCCTCGCTGTCGTCGATCATTGATCGAAGATCAGGAGATTAAGAAAGGATTTAATAACGGCTCGCTGTTATTCATCGACACTTTCGCGACCGCCCGTGTATTTTTAGATGAAAATTACGTCGTTGGGCACCGGGCCGATTAAAATGCATTCGAACGCCTTCGCGTCGTTGCTAAGTATAAAATTATGTTGTTAAGAGGCAGGCTGGAATAAAGAAAAGGTATTCGTACGCCATCACCTTTTTGCTATAAATAACACTATGTTGTTAAGAAGCTGAAATAATAAAAGTATTTGTAAGTCACACCTTGTGCTTTTATTATAAATATTTTTAACTTGTTATATAGATATATATATATGAGAGATATTTAAACTCTTTAAGAATCTTAAAAATATATAGAGAGCTTGTAATATATTTAAAGAATAATGCTATATATATATATATATTAAAAATTGCAACACACATTTTTATTTAAGAGTTACTTATAGCGATGACGTGCGAATACTATGTGTCTCATTCTATAGTGAATTTGTTTAAGGCAAATTATGAATATTGCAGCTAATTATGTAAACCCTAAACGGTATAAGCGGGGTATGACAGATCGTTTTTAATTATAGAAACTTCATAGCGCTCTATTATTATTTGTTTGTATTTATAAAGTTTACTATAAATAAATAAAATCTAATTTCCACACGTATAAATTACGGACATCTTTTATTTTTTTGTTGTGAGTGTATATAAGTATTTATTATTATAAAATCTACGCAGTATGTTGTGTGTTCGTCTTTGGCCTTTTTATATAATTACGTAAGTAAAATAATTTATACTGTTTAGGGTAACGCAGTCCTTAACAGTTATCACGTATTTAATCCATTATAGTTTTTCTTTTTGAAAGCTTATAATGGCAATGATGAAAGAATGTCAGAAAAAAAATCATCAGAGATTTGTGCTAAAAGTTCTGAATATTTTTTTTGACATTTAATTTTCCAACATCTCATAACGATATTAAGATAGTTATACTCCACTTATATTTAGTGTATAACACACAGTTCTATATAAAATATAAATATAATATAATAATTGCGATCTTTAATGGGTTGAAAATGTACCGATATCAAAACTGCAATTTAAATTTGCAGTTAAATATCAGCGGTTGCGAAAGTGTTAAGAATGTATTGTTATTAGCTCTTTATAGTTCGATTTATTATGTATTTATATATCATTATTTGCTCGAATGGCAGGATTATTAAAACTACACGTTAAAACAAATACTCACACTCAGCTTGGATGATAATTTGCAATTCTTAAATATGCAATGACTTCGTAATTTTTATTAGATCATTGTTATTTACGCATGTTAACGTAAATTTTACAGCCATTTAATATGATAACAAAAATATTAGATTTGCTCATGATATAATATATTAACTCACACATATAAATAGAATGTTAATATTTTATTATTCATATTTATTAAATTTGAGAAAAAAATTGGAGGGTACTAATCTTGAAAAGAAGATCTCAAATTTTATATTGTATTGAATGTATATAGTTTTAATTTTTTTAGATCATACAATTTTAGATTGATTCTTTTTCTTGCTTTGAGTTCATTAAATTTCTTGAATTTTTAATTTTTCAAAATTCTCAAGCCTGAATCTTTGATCTTTTAAGTACGTTTTAATCTTTGAATTGTTGTCACATTATTTGTTCGTTGCATTCTCGGATTTTAATTATTAAAAAAATTCTTAGGTTTTAAAGTCATTTCTAAAACAACAAAGAACGAGGAAACAGATTACTTTGAAATACTATTAATTATCATATTAGAAATTTGAAATTATTTTAAACTTTTAATGTGAAGATAAATGAACATAAGTGTTTATTGTTGCTATTTTTAAAACATCATTTTAAGATGGTTTCAAAATAAGATGAAATCACGCAAAACGCAATTACAATATGATAAGATCATAATTAGACCAATAAAGGATAACTCTCGGATGCATATACAAAGTCAATTTTGTTTTAATACACATTTCGATTTACAGTAAAAAATTGTATATTTGCTTTTTTTATATCTGTTTTATTTTATTAAATTACATTATTTGCTAAATCAAATGATGTCAATAACATTAGTATAAACCTTTGGTATGGAAAGTTATAATTCCGTTATTTTTTCATGAAAGGTAAAGAAGTGTCTAATTATCACACAAAAAAGGCAGCTTTAGTTATTTTATGTTACTTTTAGATATTAATGGATTAATGGCGTATTTACATTATATTCGCATAATATTTTTTTCTATAAATGCAAAGATAAAAACTAATTTTCTCAAATTTTAGGAAATTACTTCTGAATCAATCTCGTTATCATTGATGAAATTGATTGATAAAAATACTAATTTTTATTCTTCTTAAATAAGCTTGTTTGTATAAGACAGCATGCAAGAAAAAGACTTAATATACATCCGAGGGGATCGAACGCGATTGAAGAAGGATCGACGAGAGCGACGGCGAATCCGTCACGGTGCGCCGACTGACACGCTTTCGGACGGTTGCATATATTTATAGCGAAAAATTACGAGAATGCATATTATTCTGCCGATTAACAAATAAGTGCGTAGGATTCGTTTAATTGTAGATCGAACACGTACACAGTCATGTTACGCGCGAGTGCAAAATGCATACCATCTACGATACCCTTCTTCGCTCACATCTTTATATCCCCTTATTCAAGAGCAACACATATACACACATACACACGCGCACACACACAACAGACACACACGTACACAGAATACGTACTCGTATACGAATACACATAATTACACCTACACAAAACTCACACGCGTATAATAAGGCGCAACACGTACACGCGCACGCACGTTGCAATTAGACGTTATTATCGCAATTTGGAGTTAAATTTTATAATATATAATATATAAAAAATATATATAATAAATAAAAGAGTTGACGGATAATATAGAGTTATATTAAATATCTAAACGAAGATACTCTGTGTTTCTCATGTGTGAATATATTATCCCTTCTGTTGCGCAATCACACTCGAAATTTTCCTTCTCTCTCGTATCCCTAAAATAGTTTAAGTAGATAGAACGCGTATTTGCACACATCAACAATGTTCTCACACTGTGTTCTTCAATTTTTATCATATTATAGTTAAACTATTTTTTTTACTTATGTACATCTTAATAAATATTATTTAACGTCTTAACAAAAAAAGTAGTTAACGTATTAGGTTTCATATATTCAATCTAATAAATATTTCGTATTGGCTCTTGAAATTTATTTATTTAAATCTTACTAAAGTAAAAGTTATTTATGTGATGAGACATAAAATAACATTACTTAAATACGTATTTTCTTTATCCTTGTATAAAAATGAAAAAATATATTTTTTTTTTAGAATTCTTTTTGTTATAATCTGCAATATAACTGCTGTTTTTGTTCAACATCTAAGGAAGAATAATGAAAACCTTAAATTTATTTATTATCTTTATTTATCCACAATTATAATGATGCTTTAATCTTTTATACTGTTCAATACATTTTAAAAATCATTTTATAAATTATCTTTATTTCTAAGATGGGTAGTTTAATTAGTTTTTAAGCTTCTTAATTGTAATCAATATTAATATATGCAATGAATAATAATAACTGTATTCTGATAAAAATTTTAAGTCAACAATTTATAATAACAATTTTTTAATTCCACATAATGGCAACATTGTTTTAATAATAATAATTTTGATATATGTATGTTAACTTGTGTATTAACTTGTGTGTGTTGTTAAAAAGTAAATTTTTATTTTATAAGTAAAATATAGAGAAAGATATTAATATCACAAATATCTCATCAATTTTAATTTTCCACAAATTACATTTATTGACAAGTTATCTAATTTTATTGTTTATAAAAACTTTTTAATAATTCTTTAAACAATGTCTCTTTTAATAGCTAGTCAATATTTGAATAAAAATATTTTTAAATTCTGCGCAAGATACTATCGAAAGAAAACATGGAATATTTCGATGTATCGATATCAAGCGATTTATACTTTGCATCTTGCATCTCCAGCAGAGAACTGTCATCTGTCATTGGAGCCAAACTGGCATCGTAAATGGACGGGAAAGCGACTTCTAACAATTCTTCGGCTTATCGCCGTGCCAAGTAAGCTTAATAGTAATTACATTAAATATATATAATATTACACTGATATTTGACTTGAATTTTAATATTTATTAAAAGTTATCATTTCATGTTACAATATTAGATTGTATTTTGAGGTTAGTTTGATGCTTCCTAACCTGATTACACATATTTATAACAAATCAATATGTAAATATGCACGTATAAAAGAAGTTGTAATAAAGATGGACGCAAAAACATTGAAATTTTTTAACAATAAGCATTATATTAAAGTGCTAAATATAACGAAGAAAATAAATGAAAAACTAGAAGAGAGAGTATTATATACTAATACTTTATTTTTATACATACAGATAATTGTATATGTTTACAATTCTATCTTTATAGCTTAAAAATTGCACCTGGTGCAGTAGTGTGCGAAGAAAGTATTCTGAAAGGAGACATTTCCATCGGTGCAAAAACTATAATCCATCCTAGGGCATGCATTCTAGCGGAAGCTGGTCCAATTATCATAGGAGAAGGCAATATAATAGAAGAAATGGCAACTATAGCTAACAGGTAAATTTAATATGTTCATATTGTTCATAGAACATACAATTTTATACTAATTACTAATATATTACATATTTTGCAGATCACCTCCTGATGCTCCGGAATCTGTAACAGTACCAGTGCAGATAATAGGAAATTACAATGTCTTTGAGACTGATTGTACGTGTGAATCATTCAAAGTTGGAGATAACAATATTTTAGAAGCAAAAGGTATATATAATATTCTGACAGTTATTTTTCAATACATATAAATAAATATTGCGTTTGTGATATTAGATCACACAAATACAACTAATTTTGTCAGGTCAGAGAACGATTTAAAAGAATCATTCAATAAGACTTATAAAAATATTAATTATAAATTTTTATACACGCATTTTGCAAATAACTTTTTTTTTTTCAAAAGCGCACGTAGGTCGAGAAATCGAATTAACCAATGGATGCGTAATTGGAGCTGCATGCTCTTTGACTGAACGAGAAATTGTACCCGAAAATATGATAGTATATGGAAGTCAGTGTCAACGTAGAGAAATGAATGACAAACCATACGTGAGCATTATATATTATTTTTATTCTATGTTTTCATAATACAAAATTTGATTTTTTTTTATTCCATTATATTAATTAGCCTCAGATTGGACAGTTGGATTTTCTGCTTAAAGTGCTCCCGAACTATCATCATTTTCGCAAGTCGAATATGAAGCCGAAGCCTGGAACTAACAATATGTAATATTCAATTTTGTATAATAATAAAACGAGAGAAAGCGCGCGAGAGAGTATAACTTTTGCATCAATTTTATTATATTTATTGAATATACTTTATGTTCTTGATTATTAAGAGAGAAGGGGAAAGAAACGAAATTAGATATTTATTTATAAATGCTACATAATCTTTTATAATTGTTTATTATTATAAATATAAAATATAAGTATTTTAGCGAACTTTGTAGAAAATTAGATATATGTTATAATATAAGAAAAAGAAAGAGAAAAGAAGTTTATATATTACATAATTAATGCTGATATTAAAAAATGTTAATTTATATTTACGATCAAAATGGAAACAAATAAATGATCAATAAACCACAAAAGCATTCCTTCGAATTCAACTTCTTCATTAAAGATGGCATTAATATTTAATTTTGTGAAAATTCTCTATGTCAGCTTTTGTTCCTTATCAGCTTCATTCTCTTAATATTTATCTTATTATTATTAGTCCTAGATATTCTTTATTTGAATTAGAAATATTTGAATTTTTCTAACATAATGACATTTTAATATAACTTAAGATTATAATCATAAACTATTTTCCTAACTTAAAATCGAAAGAAAAAAAAAGTAAATTTGTGGAACAACATCTTTTACTATCCCAATATATTGTATTAACATTGCGCAATATTAATACATCCAAAAAATTAGTAAGCATTATTATTAGTAACGACTAAATGTTTTTGTATTTGTCGCTCGATTTGTCGCTAGCCTTTTCGAGCTTTTTTCGATTTTCCGTACAAGAAATTAATTGATCCACAAAAAAAATGAAAGAAACCACCCTCGTCTCTTTTTCACAACGAGCGGAAATATGAATAGAAATAGTAGCCACTCCGTCTCTTAACCGACTCTCCGGGGAATTTAACGGCATAATGCTAAACGCTACATCTATGAATATGAATTAGCATCTCGTCGAGGGGGTTGGTTGCGAACCATTTACCGCTTCCGTCAGCTTAGTGAAACGTGCCAGTGATTATCAAACTCTTCATATTTGAATTTATACTCGTAGGAAAATAACACATTTGGCATTGGAATTCGAAAAATTATAACGGATGGTCAAAATATGTATAACAACAAATCCAAATGTTACATCTTCATAAACCAACAATTTGCTTGTAATATATATAATATAAATATTTGAACAGTCTTTCAAGTATATTTTTCTAGATTTTTAAAAATTGATAAAAAAGAATAAAAATTAATAGAGAAGAATTTCGAGAACTTATAAATGCTGTTATTTAATATGAAAGTTTATTCAAGATACAAAAGTTAGATAGCCACTTTAAATTTTTTTAACAACTGAGATTTTTCAGGGTCAACGCTGTATATTAATTTTACTAATCACAAAATTGACCAAACACCGACTTAAGTATTTTTACAAAACAAAGTAGTCACGAGCGCGCCTTTACTTTAATGATCGGCCGCGGCAACCCCCCGTGACGTAACTCTTGTCGCGAAAGTGGTGACTCGAGAGAGCTGTCATATTTTGACGTCCGCAGCGGGCGTCGGAGAAAAGAGAGAAAGGGTGCGAGAAAGAGACATAGAGAAAAGGAGAAGAAAAAGATTATTTTCCTAGGGGGTTGAATCCGCAGCCGCGGACAATCGCGAAGAAGAAGTTAACGAGGAGAGAACTCCGAATGCTTTTCTGATGAATTTACGTAATCTCTTTTCGACGGCGTCACTCGTTTCGTACACAAGAACCTTTTTAAATTTAATTTATTTAATAATCCGTAAGAAGGAATGCAATCAAATGGCGTGATATGAATCGAGAAATATAATTTTTTGAAATCTTTTAGAGAGAAGACATGTTTTTTCACACTAACTAAAAATGAAGCTGAATTAATATTTTTACTTGATGAAATTTCTTAAATAAAACAATGTCGTAAAAATTTATTTTACTTAAATAGTATCAGCAGGTTCTTCCTTTTCATCACTGTGACATACTTTTCATCCAATTTCAATCAATACATATTTAATAAGATAATATATTAAATAACTAACAGAGTTTAATAATAAAATTTATTGATAAAAATATTTATGTTATTATATGTTAATTGAAAATAAAGATACAAATCATTTATTAGTCGTACAATTACACAGAAGCCAACTATATTGTGCGCAAATGAGAATTAAATATAAATTATATAAAGCAAATATGTGCATGTGAACTAATCGCGTAAAAGTGAACACACATCGCACTTGGAGACAAACCGTGTACATTACTTTTAACTGACATGAGAGATTCGATTGAGGGGTCGAGGTTTGAGCACCGAATTAGGCGTGCCGTCAAAAGTCGCTTGAGCGATTGTCAAGATCGCGAGCGGTGCGTGCGAACGATAATAATCGACGGACAGCCCTTGGGGTGTGTTTTGATTTTGACCACCACGGTCGTCGACTGCTTACAGAGTATATGCGCAACTAAACTAGAAGAAAGATAGACAGAGAGAGGCTTTATTTGGAGGGTACAAGAGAAAAGAGAAGGCGAAATCAACCCCCTCTTGCGTCCTGATCTCCTCGACGTTCCAGTCTCGCAAATTGACGTCCGCAGACATGAACCCCGCTCGTCCAATGCCAAACGAGAGTGACGAGCGTTGCGAATCCACGACTCGCTTAACATTTCCATTGTGAGCGCCGTCCCCGGGGTTCAAGAGGCGGAAAGAAAAGGGAGATGTATTGGAAGAGAGAAACGCGTCACGCGCGCGAAAGTCTCGATGCTGTTGAGGATTATAATAATTGCGAATTAACATCAGTAATCGGTCGACAAAGTTGATCGATGGACATCGCGTTAAGAGGACGGAGTCTTAATCATGGGACAAAATTTTTGTGTGCAATCGGTGAAAACAAATTTCATTTGCAATTCTCTTTGCAGATTGCAGATTGCAGATTTTATTGAAAAACTAGTTATTGATTTTGATATAAATAGATAAATTATTTAGTAATCTCTAAATCGTTGATATATAATCAATGGGGGGATATAT